AGCACAGTAGGTCAGGAAAAAACAAATGCCCTTATTTTGTCAGCAAGGACATAAAAAGACAGCCATCATCTGCTAGTGAAGCTATAGCAAATCCTTCTGTTTCATTTCCAACAATTTCTGCTGCCCCAAGACAGCCAGTGTCCAGGCCCAGTGGCCAAGAATTGCTTGGTTTTCTTCTTTACACCCCTATTGTTCCTTATACATGCACTAACTGCCTGGACTGTAGCAAATGCTTTCACATATGTTGTCTTATTTCTTCACACCTTTTTCCAGGTGAGGAAGTTGAGGCTCAAAAAGGTAACGCAATGTGTCCGAGGTCACATTTATTGGTAAAGCCAACATGAAGAATCCATGACTTTTGACTTTAAATCCGTGTTCTTTCCCCTGTACCCTACTGTTTTTGCCTAGGCATGCCTATCCTTAACTGCAGTTGGATGGAATTTGAAATCATACATTGGAAGCATGCAGAGATAGGGATGTAGCCTGAAGGAATCTGGAAAGAGGTGATGGACATACATCAGCATGTTATATCAGAGACACCAAGTTCAGACTATACATCAAGGAGAATGGATACGGAGTTGACACCATGCTGCAGGCAATACCACACCACATTACTACACCCATATCCTATAAACATCTCCTCATAAAATGTTTAATTACAGTATCATTAAAAAATGATAAATATTATCTTCATTTTATAGATGTGGAGATGGGAGCTGAGAGACTTGTTTGAGTTCTTAGAGCTAGTCAGGAAAAGACCCAGAATTCAGATCCCAGGGTGAATGACTCCACAGCTGAACTTTTTCCTTCCATGTAACAGTACTGTTCTGGTTTGAACTTAGTCTTCATTGTGAAGAGCAAACGCTCCAAATGAGCATTCCATTCAGCACAAAGGAAAGTCTTATAGGTTTTGATGGAGCCAATTGATTTCAAATGGTTCTTCTGAATAGATACCTTCACAACCCCAATTTTTAACTTGTTTTATAGAAATCTGATTCCACACATCTTCCCCCTGCTTTTACAGGAGGACATCTGGCTTTCCAACTGGAATTCCTTCTTCACAAGTCAGGCAAACTTGATTGGACAGGAAATTGAGTTCCTTCCCCCTGGTTTGCACACTTGCCACCTGTCCCCTCCATTCCCCCTTTGCAGCCCAGAGAATATGAAAACACAGACCTTCTGTGGACTAGTCAGTGAGAGACAACAATGCTACCTGTTGGCTGAAACTGAATGGTCCTACAGCCATTGTCTTCCACACATCCTACTCTCTAGTTTCACATTTAGGGTGCCCATATGTCTCATCTTGGTGCCTCTGCTCCCAGTATCCCACTTCATCTGTGACTCTCTAACCTCAAGTCCTCTTGATCAAAGCTTTCTCACCTTTAAAAACAAATCAGTTCAAATGCCCCCTCCTCCAAGAAGTCTTCACTGATCTCCTAAAATGGATATTAATCTTTCCCTTTTATATCATCCTCAGCTGTAAACCTCTTATTAGTACCTCATATTATACTATCACAATTTATAAAAGTGTATCATTCCCTCTACTTAACTACTTGACTTCTCAACTTTCTCATGGCAAGAATTACACGGTGTTAATATTTGAGTCCCCACAACATAGTGTCTTAAATGTAGTTAGTTAAACGCCTTTCCAGAAATGATCATTGTGATCATAATGTCTCTAATTTAACAAGCACTTATTTTGAGCCAAATATTTTTCATGCATTATTTCTATTTCTTACGATAAACCTGCAGGGTAGTTTCCATCATCCTTGTTGTTCAAGTGAGGAAACCAAGACTCAGTCAACCAATAAGCGGAGGAGCAAGAATTCAAACTTGAGTCCGTGCCTCCAAAGCCCTTTGTTCTTGGCACTTGGCAGTTTGATGTAATTGGAAAATAAACCTTGAAAAAGTGAGGCATTGCTTGCATTCACTGAAGTCTCTAAACTTTAACCTCTCACGCCACTATCTGAAACAAACTTAAGATCAGAGAAAAGGTCCCCGAGTACCTCTGATAATTGTCAAGGGGTCCCTAGATAAAAGCCATTTACTCTGAGAAACATTGTAATATAATGATTATGAACACAAATTCCGAAGCCAGATTGCTTCAGACTGAATGCTGACTCTGCTGTTTCATAGCTTGATGTTCTTGGGAAATTACTTAACTTCTCTGTGTCTCAATTCTTTATTTATAAAACAGACATCATCATCACCATCACCTTCTTCATCATCGTCATCATCGTTATTACCACTCTGCTTCCAAAGTTTTGTTGTGAGAATTAAAATAGTTATATGAATAAGACATTTAGGAATGTGCTCAAAAGCTCTGTTCAGTTATTATTACTGGGCCAGCAGTTGCAAACTGTTGGCTTGTAAGTAGGATCTGATCTGCAGATTATTTTTAACTGTAATTGCTCCACAGCGTATATTTTGAAGTAGTAATTTATTGCCAACACTTATAGTTTTTTAGATTACACACACCAAAAAAGCACAAATTCTGGTTTCTCTTTGAAAATCAGAAGATCTAGTAACTCTGAACACTTCTTCCTGCCTGGCCATAATCCATTGGTCCGTGAGTAACAAATGGCCCCATTTTTACAAAGGCATGAATGCCCCAGAGCATCATCAGGGCCCTTGTGTTACCTTAAGCTCAGACACCTCTCTCATTTGTGTTTTGTGCGGTTTTGAACTATTATCTAATCTACCATATGCTTCAATGAGTTGAGTTATCAAATTTTCCAGTGCAAACACAAGTTCAAACAGCAAACTCGGTAAGCATTCACGTTAGCTGGCTGATAGGAAAATGGGTGTTGAAACAGATATAGCTGATAACCAAAAGAAAGAAAAACCCAACAGCAGACATAGCACTTCACCATGATAAAGCATCACAATCAAAATCACACTCGAAATGTAACATCACAATGTAGTGTCGTGTTACCTGAATGCTTGCTTACAAGGTTGATCCTTCCCCTTGCCTCCTACTGTTACGATCTCACTCAAATATTATCTCATTAGGTCAATCCAAATCTTTTAATTATACTCTCTATACAAACCAGAAGGAATTTCTTATTCCCTTATTGCACAGGGCACAATTTGAGAAGTTCTATCCTTATCTTCATCATAGCCTTCTCAACCAGACCATGAGTCCAGAGCACAGGGGCATGGTAGAATTTGCTTGTGTGCTCCTTAGGGATAAGCAAAGTGCCTTGGAATTATCTGAGAAATATGTGAGTGAATTATAGTAAGAAAATTTAAAAAAAAAAACAACTTCCTAGCCTACTTAGGTAGAGGATATAAAATATAATTCTATACAAATATTTCAATCAAAAAATTCAAAATATATTAGGCATATAAGCAGGTGACCTTCCACTAGAAACATTCATTTATGTTATTTTGCCCTTAGAGGCAGACATGGGTTGGCTTCCTCTTTGTTTTTTGCTTTTTTGTAGCATGGCAGGTTGCTTCAACTGTCTAAATCAGTTTTCTCATTTTTAAAATGAGGATTTCTAATTGTTTTTTTTTTTTAATGGAGGTACTGGGGATTGAACCCAGGACCTCCTTCATGCTAAGCATGCACTCTACCATTGAGCTATTACTGTCCCCCTAAAATGAGGACTTCTATTGGTCCATCAGGTCTCATTTTGCACCTCATCTCCTATGAGAAGCCTTCCATAACATCCACAACTAGATTTAAGTGCCTCCCTACAAGCTCCCACAGCCCCCAGGCTCTATCACACTACCCTGAAATTCCCTAGACTATCACTTCAATGAAGGCAGGAATTATGCCCCATTCACCACAAGATGCCTTGAACAGACTAAGTGCTCAGAGAATATTTGTTGACCGAAAGAAATAGATGATTGAATCAATAGCTAAGTGACTCTACTTCCAAGGTAGCTGGAAGAACCCAAGTCCAAGTTGTCATCACTATTACACATGATGTCTAACATGGAGGGGCGGAATTGGGAAATCTGCTTTAGCCCAAACTGCTGTCTGTTGCTCCCATCTGTCGCTGTTCTGGCCCCAGCCCTTCCCCCATTACAATCCCATTGAGCTTTCCTGGAGCTGACCCCATGCAGGCAGGGCTAGTGGGGTGTTTTCCAGCCTCACCAACCTAATTGTTCCTCATTTCCTGCCTGTAAATGGTACAAGGTGTGGAGTTGCACCTCCCAATGTCCCCATTTCAATCATTTGTCTACATTAATCGACACTAATGGCTTTTACGAATGTAAGTCTTTAAGCTCCAGTAACTTACATGTGTTTGAGGAGGCCACTGAAAGAAAGCAAATTCCCTGTTCCTTTAGCTTCCAGGGAAATGTTCTCCAAATATCCTGAAAGCAGGGGCAGAGCCCAGCATTCCAAAGCACCGTGCCTTTGCTTGGCCATCCCTCAAGAGACTGAGTTGTTATTATTAATAAAGTGTGACTTTCTCAAATGAAGGAACAAAGCCCTGTGTGTTACCAACTGCATGGAAAGGACAGGTGCTCTGAGATCTGAATCACATCAGTTTACTTGACACCCCAAATTGCATGTTTAACTTTTATTTATTTTTAAAAATATTTGTAAAGAATGTAACAGCATTAGATACGAATTAAAAAACATTTTTGTCTTTGAATTCTATCACACTACCTTGAAATTCCCTAGACTATCATTTTCACTCCCATATTTCGTCCAAGACTAGAAAACTGTATCTCCATTACCTCAGAAGTATCACTGTCAGCCTTTTACCATAGGTATTGTATTCAATATAATACGGTCCTATACCCTCTTTCTTCATTTAATGTTATAACATAAATGTATGTTTCTAGTTATAATTCTAGTTTTACGAGCTAGTATTATTTTTTTAATACAGAAGTTTAATCTCCTTAACCATCGCCTCTTATTAAACAATAGAATACAAAACCAATAATATTTTTAAAAAACAGAAATTCAGAAAATAAGCAGCAAACTAGCGGAAAAAAACCCTGTAGCAAACATAAAAGATTATGAAAGATTCCTCACCCACCTTGTCATTAGCCATTTGACTAGCATCCCTTTTGAGGATCCCCATATATCATCATTCTGAGAACCAGACATCGGAGGCAAAATTCTGGTGAGAACAGACAACAGAAAATAATTACAAAAATTGTTTGAAAACCGTAAGTACAATAAATCCTGTGAATAATTCAAAGTCCCATGATTAAAAGATGGGCAGTCTTCAATTCACCAAAACAAATAAATAAAAATCTAATAATATATGATTTACTTAAGACAGTGTTGCTAAGACAAATTACCTGGTACCATTAGAAGACAATTTCAAAACTGCATAATCTTAGCCAGAACTCCCCCCAAAGCAGATACTAAGACAAAGGCTAGTGTGCAGATAGTTCATTTGGGAAGTGATTCTTGGAAGCAGGTGTTAGGAGCAGGGTAAATGAAACACACAGAGAGAAGGGAAGTAGACCAACGTGAGGATGTATCATCATTGATCTGGTCACCACTATGGAAGAGTGATGTTGATCCTGCCAGGACTCCTAAGGAGCCTTCTAGAAAGCATTGCAGAACTGTTTTCCCAGAAGATGAGTGGAGGAAGAATTTATTCACTGGTTGTCAACCCCCACTGTTCCATGGGAACTAATGACCTTTTCTGGCTTTGTCAGTTAGCATAATACTGTTCCCTATCGACTGGACTGGCTGTCTCGGCAGCAGCTGAATAAGAAGGGCTGCTGAGAGGGTTTGAAGTGGCTCACAAGAGGCACCTGATACAGTCCATCCTTGGCATCAGCCAGAGTTGCTCCTGCCTCCCATGCAGTTCATCCCCTTCAGGGAGGTGGCTAGCCATCCTGCAAGTGAAACAAGGTAGGTCCTCACAGTCACGGCCGTCCACACCTTATTTAGTACTCATCATCTCCCCCTTCTACTGACTGCCCTCACTCCCAGCCAGTACTTGAGCCAGTCTAGGCTATTTCCTGGTGAACTGCCCCAGGATGTCATCCCTAAGGGTACCCACGTCCCTGGCTGCTCCTGGGCATGGTTGTTTCAGCTGTCGGTTCCCCATTCTCACATAGATGGAAGACGAATCCCTTGAATTTCTACCTGGCCCTGCCTCCATTCTGCAGTGGCAACCCTTGTTCCTCACGGTAGTCAGGGTCCATCACCCCCACCAGTTCAGCAACTTCCTTCTTTGCTTGTTGGCCCAATGACAGAGAAGACCAGAATGGCCAGGTGGAAATGCCGTTTGAAGTTCAGCGGAAATTTCACTGAGTCTCCTGGTAGCAGTTCCCTTCTTAGGAACTAGACCTTTAATCCAGCTCATCCTACCGATCAAGACCACAAATCTCATCCTGAAGGTTTACATTCTGGGGCTTTTTTCATAACAAACTCTCTTAGACTGGTTTCCCCCAAAGACAGAACTCAACACAAAGTGCAGGTAGTTTATTTAGCAAGTAATCCCAGGAAGGAGGGATGAGGGACAGGAGGAAAACAAAGCAAGACGGAGGAAGGGGAGAAAGCCCATACAAATTTGCACTGCTGATTTGGCCACAGCTAGAGTAGACAGGTGCTTAATGCATGCATCTTGAAACTGTCCACTCAGCAGTGAAAGAGAAAAGAATTTCTATCATTTTGTGCTCAACTTTTTTTCCTTTGCATAAAGCTAAGTCACTAATCGTTGCCAAAATTCCCTTTTTTTTAAACTCTGCATTCCCAGCATGCAGTGCAGGTTAATTTTATTTTATTGTCCACGTCAGAGACATTTTCCCATATAAGATGTCATTTTCTATTTTCTGAGCGCTGAACTTCTAAATGATTCTGCCTTGAAGCTCCAGTATTGGATTTCGCTCAAGTTCCAGGACTTCGACATTCCTCCTCTCTGTTTAATGTAAGTTCCAATGGTTCACGTGGTGTCCCCATTTCCAAAGCGGCTTCGCTCCCCTTCCCCTCGCTCCCCTGACCCACCCTCCATGCATTATGGATGGATGTCATGCTTCGCCATCTCCTTCAACCCCATTAGTCAACTAGAACATATTGTGATGAGAAAAATCTTTGCCAAAAATTCCTGGCTATGATCACATTGGGCTCTGAAGGAACACACTTCAGTTTTCAGATAGGTTCAAAAGAGCAGTAATGCCGACAAGTGAGTTCTAACTTCTTCCCAGAGAAGAAGCATTTCTGGCTGAAGAGAGCAGTGGAAGGAGTCAGAAGAAGGTAGGGGTTTGAGTACGGCCCTGACACAGCGGATGAGGGGCCTTGAGGAAACTGAAGCTCTAAAGGGGTGAGAGCATTTTCCCATCTGTAAAGTGAGCGTGATAGTCACAGCTGTGTCTTGAGTTGCTGGGAAGGTCAAATGCAAAAACAACTAACATTTGCATAATGTATTATTATCTCATATGTTAAAGTGGCTGCTATGACATGATCATTAGCTTCGTGTGAACCTAATTACCTACTCCCCCCCGACCAAAATAAAAAATAATAGCTTCCTGTGAACTGGTAAAATTACCTACCTATTGGACTTCTTCAAATACACATTTACTGAGAACTACTGTTTGCCAGGCTGAGGTATAAATTTCAATGCCTATGCATAAAGGTATTTGACAAAATGTAATTAAACTCCATCCCTCCTGGATTAGTCAGATTGGACTGCCATAACAAAATGCCGTAGACAGGGTGGCCTAAATGATAGAAATTTATTTTCTCAGAGTTCTAGAGGCTAGAAGTCCCAGATCAAGACATGGGCAGATTTGGTTTCTGGTGACAATCTCTTCCTGGCTTGCTGATGACCGCCTTCTTGCTTTGTCCTAAAAGACAAAGTGAGGAGGGCTGGGGGGAGGGAGGGAGGGAGAAAGTGGGACTCTTTCTCTTCTTATGAGGACACCAGATCTGTTAGATTAGGGCCCCACCCTTATGACCTCATTTAACCTTAATTACCTGCCTAAAGGCTCTATCTCCAAATACAGTCACAGTATATTTGAGTTAGGGCTTCAGCGTATGAGTTTTAGGGTTCAAAATTCAGGTCATAACATCTCCCAAGCTTGCAGTATTATATAAACAATCCAGTTAGGAAAAAAAGTGATTCCCCATCCTTTCTTCAGATTCATGTATTAGAAAGAAACCCTCCAATTTGGTCTTTAAGAGAGAACCACCCTGCAATCCAAATCGACCTCCACTCAAAACCCCTCACCCAAGGAAGACATTTGGCCATTGATTCTCTAGGGTTCCCCATCCACGGCCCCCAGCATCCCTCACTTCTGGAGTCAAGGTGCAGGTCTTCACTGCACACATCTAGTCCTAGCTCTTTGTGGAGTCTGCTTTATCTAAGTTTCTGAATCTGCCTCTCTCTCTTGCTTCTTGGCTTTCCTGCTGGTCTCCCCTCCCTTCCACTCTCCTCTCTTCTATCTCTCTTTCCAGGGGGCCAATATACTACAAAAAGTCTGAAAATATGAGGAAAATCGTGTCTTCATTTGAACTTTTTAGATTAACAATTGGACCAAATGCTTTAAATAGGGAGATATTTCAACTGCATAGGTGTCTGGAGGTTGGAGAAACATATAATGAACATATTACTTGAAAAAGTAACTGACATTTAAAAATAAGCTTGTTCTAAAGTCTTCTAGCTTTTGGATATCCTGTGTGTCTCTGCCTTCACCTACCCGTCTCTCTTCCTTCCTCCCATTCCTCCTCTTCTCTGTCTTTATAGATCTTCCCTATGTCAGTACCCCCCTGTGTTCCCCTCTTGTCATCTCTGTCTTCCCATTTCTCCATCATGATGCCTGTCCTCCCCTCCCCACTCCCCTCCCTCTTTCTCTCCCCTTCCCTCCCACAGATACCCTCCATTAGCAGCTCTGTTTGGTTTTATCATTTCAGCACTGCTGTTTTGGCATGAGAACCTTTCCAATTTCCTGTCATGATAATAATGAAGCTTAGAAGAGAGCATGTCAAAAGTTTCCTGTAAACAGAGGAGGTGCTAAATGAGCTCTCTTGTTGATAGGGTTCAAGAAATTGGGTCTTTTTGCCATGATTCTCCATAGAGTGGTGTGTGTCTAGGCTGGTCACAGGACCTAATTCCCAGCCAGACAGAAGACACATTTACTGAAGGAAGGCAGACTGGGTTCTGGAAAGGGCTCTCAACTCAAAGTCAAGAGCTTGGTATGCAAAGCACAGCTCTGGCATCCACGGACTGTCTGATCTTTGAAAAGTCCCTTGACCTCTCTGGATTTTAGTTTCTTCAGCTCTAAAAAAGGGAATTGGAGTGTTAGTCTTTAGGAACCTTCTGGCTTTGACTTTTATGATTCTATATTATTCACAAAACACTGTGCTTCAAATATATGTACTCTTTGTGTTTGTGTGTGGGGTAAATATAGACATCAGTGTATATGTATATAAAACATATGTCTAAATGTATGGATATGAGTGTTTATGTATGTAACACACACACACACACACACACACACACATATTCTTTGGAGGAAACATTATGGAAAGCCATTCTGAAACTTCTTTCCTACAAGCACCGTGGGTCCTAGTTGGGAGGAAAGTTTAATTCCCCTAAAACCCTAAGAGTAAAGAAAGAATCTGGAAAATATATCACAATGAAAGCAAAATTAGGATATGGAATTTTGAAGGTGGGGGTTTTTTTATATGAAAATATAGGCATTGTATTATAAAACTAAATAGATCATATATTTGGATCTTGATTCATAAATACTTTAAAGTTGGTGTTGATTAAAATGCTAAGAATTTGTTGGGCTTAAAAGGTAAGTTAAAATTAGCAAATTCTGTTAATGGATAGTGATCACAAAGAGAAACATGTTCTATAAACTATGTTTCTCTTTGACGAAAGTGCACCCACATAGACTGTTAAGGGTATGGAAGCTGAGTTTCAGGGCCCCAAGAAAACAACGGCATTGTTAATTAATTACTGAATTAATACATGCCTACTGTGTACCTGAGCTTAAAGGAAATGCGATATGGCCCTTGCTCTTCTAGAGATGTACAATAAACAAATAAAAATGCATCAACAGTATTGTGATACGCCATGAAGGAAAAGAAATGAGGTGCTACAGGAGGAGGTATGGGTGATGGGGGGTGGGGGGGATTAGGGTAGAAAATGTGACAATCCGGTCGGGGTGAGATGTGCTCCGAGACACCTTCCTTACCTCACCATCCCGAGGGCGGCAGGAAGCCTTGCTTTGTGGGGCGCCTGCTCGCCAGTCAGCGCAGGTGACTGAAATCAAGCTACCCTATCAATCACACCTGACTCATCTGCACCTTTACAGAGGGCGCGAGATTTCAGTTTTATTCTCCCAACCAGCTCAAGAGTTAAGTACTGTTGTCTTCATTTCACATGGGTTTGAGGGGATGCAAAATTACACACAGATTCTAATGTGCAAAGGAATATAGTACATTTTCTCCTTAACTCTCATGAGTTTAACCATGAATGAGCCTCCGTCTCCTGGGCAGTTGCAGGGCGGGGAAACTACGTTCTACTCCAGTCTGCTACGCTTACATCCTAATGCAAGAATCTAGCAGTCCTTTCTGGGTACCGCGTAGCTTTCTTTAGGTGCAGTTGGCCCAGTCACTGGCATTTGCCCTGTCCTGCTCTGGCCTAGGGTACCACCTAGGGGGAGGTCCTAAGGCAGCAGAGCAGAGATGAAGGCTGTGCCCCTGGGGCCCCTCAGACCATCGCTGGCCTCTTCTGCAGAGGGGCCATTTGGAGTTGCTCCCTGGAGTGGCCACTGCTATCACTTCTGGCAACTACTCCTGTGTGTGGGCATTGCCCTGTGTGCTCTGCTTCTGAAGGGGGCACTAGGCAACTCAAGATCTCTCTCTCTCTTTTTCTCCCCACCCCACCTCAACCCCACCCCTTCCGCACTCAGCTTCTGAGTGGCCTGGGGGACTTACTAACAACTCAGCCTTTTCTTTCGACACCTCTGGTTCTGTGGATGCCTCACCTCCAGTCCCGGCCACGGGCTGCATCCTGCTCCTGGCTCTCTGCACTTGCTACAGCAGGCCCTGCGGCAAGCTTGCTGCCTCTCAACTCAGTGACTTTCCATGCCTTCCCGGGGCGTGTGGGAAATTTGGGTCCCCTGATCGTAACACATAGGAAAGACAGGTGGCTTGGAAAAGCCTAGTTCTGGGTCTCCCTCTGTCTCTCTATTCTGTACTGATGAGTTTGCCTCTGTACCTCCTTTCAGAGTCCTAATTATAAGGCCAAGGTGAGTGCCTCTTTCCCCCATACCACTCACCTAACACCTACGGCCCTCCCCCGCTCTGGGCGGAGAGGCAGAGAGGGCACAACATGCCTGCCTCTCCTGTTTGTCTCTTTCCCAGAGCGTTTGCAGCTGGAAGGCAACGGCCTCAGGGCTCTCATTTCTTGCACGTGCTTTCTTCTCTGCCGCGGCAGCAAGCCTCAGGGCCTGGTCCCGCAGGTGGAAGGAGCGGCCTTTCCACAATTACAGAGGAAACTGTGATCGAAGCTGTTCGGGTTTTATTCTTCCTGTGATAAAGGAATTTAGAAAGTCTTCTCTGTAGTCACCAGCCCAACATCTAGCCCCCTTTTCTTCCTTAGTATACATCCCCTGTTTTCAGGGGACTCAGGGCCACAGTGTGCCCGGTTAAAAGCGCCCTCCTCCCCAGACACAGAGGTTACTACAGCTGCCACGTGACCAAGTCCTCGCCAATGAGCTGCGTGTGGAAGGCAGGTGCTGTGCAGGGTTTTCCTCTTTTAAAAAAGAACAAGGTTTGACTGGTGTATGTTTTTGGTTTCAGCCCTTTTCTTTTCCCCTTCTTCCTGCCAGGCATGCAGGCAGGATGCCTAGCAGGGCAGTGACCAGCTTGCAAGCAATGAAGATGTTCCCAGAGAAAGGAGGCAGGTGTCTGGGTCTGTGTCAGGCCTCGTTCCACTGGAGAAGCAGAACCAGTTTGGGGGAGAGGGGCGACCGGGGCAGGGAGACAGAGAGAGCTGGATAGCAGGGGAGTGATTTATGTAATTGTGGGGGCTGTCTAGTCTTGGCAAGTCTGAAACCTTTAAGGCAGCTTATCAGGAAGGGCCGGCTGGAACTCTGGGGCACAGAAGGAGACTGAAATCCACAGATGAAATTCTTTTTTCTTCAAAGAAGCCTCAGTCCTGCTCTTAAAGTCTTTCTATGGATTGAATCAGGGCCACCCAGATTATCTAGGATAATCTTCCTTAGCTCAAGTAACCTGATTATAGACTTTAATCACATCTATAAAATACCTTTAAGACAGGAGGGAAGGGGGCAGGGCACATCCACTGAAAGAATGACACAGCAATTGAGGACAGGACAAACTGGTTAGACCCAAGATGGTGGAAGATTCAACTTCCAGTAGACCTTGAGCCTCGCCCACAGGTGCCATGACAATTTCCAAGGCAGACTGTAAAAGACTGAAAAGTGGGCGGGGTTCTAATTCCTGGAAATCTCCGCCCCTTCCCCAAAGTAGTTGGAATCCTCCTATTCATCTGCATATGAAATTACAGAGCCCATCAAAACTAACAACCCCTCATGGTCGCTTTCTCTCTTGCCTTCTGAGATGGCCCTCACTCTGTCGATGGAGCGTGTATCTCCCTGAAAAAGCTTGCTTTCACTTTACTATGCCTTGCTCTTGAATTCTTTGCTGCTTGAGACAAGAACCTCTTCTCTGGCAACATCTTCCTAGTCCAGATTAGTGTTTGAGTGGATAACTTGGCCTCTCCAAGCTGACACATCAAACTAATCATCACAGAGTCCCAAACAGCATTGTGTTGCCATCCCACTAGCTCTGGACTACCTGCTTCTGGATTTGTTGTTACCTCAAAAAACAAACAAACAAATAATAAAACCCTCTGGGTTAAGTCTTAATAGCCAGGTTTCTACGACCTGCAACCAAAGGCAAACCCTATCTACTGCATTCTTCCTCCACAAAACTCAGCTTTCGGCTTTTAACTTGCTTGGACTCAAATATCTAATGTTTGTCAAAACCACGTAATAGCTCTGTTGTTTCACAGAGGTGCTAGGCTTCTCCTCAAAGCTCTGAAATTCACTGTTTCACAGAACGAGGAAGCCTGCAGGCAACAAGATTTATAAGACATGAAAATACAGCTAGAAATTTTTGACAGAAAAAGTATCCCTGCTATAGTACATGTGTAGAAAATCAGTAATTTGATCAAGATTAGAAGCCAGCACTGCCGGGGACTAAAACCCATCACCCCCTTTCGACTGTGCCAAGATCAGAGCAAAACTCTCTGGTTGGCTGTCTGCGGGAAAGAGAACTGCCAACAAAGCTGCGGGGTGAACTTCTTTAGAACTCCGTACTCAGGAGAACGATCCTCATAAAATTACTGCCAGGAATATGTAGCTAAATCAGATTTATTCCATGTTAATTTGCTCTCACCGTCACTATTAAAATTGAAATTTCAGCCTTTATATCTTATTCGGGATGACGGATGTAGGTTAATCTATGGCTGTATGAAGAAAAAAAGAAAGAAAGAAAGAAAATTAAGGCTGATCACTTCTCAATGCAAGCTGTCAGAAACCACAAATATGCACTTGGAGGAAGCCAGAGGGGGCAGGGGTGAGCGGGTCAGCCGGCGCATCGGTGTCTGTGTTTGTTCTTGTCCAGTGAGCATGTCAAGATGGGACTATTAATTTGTACATGTCAACTTGATTTGGAAAACCTTGGTGCTGATCTGCTAAGACAGCACATACCATCCCCTCCCGCTCTCCCAAAACCCCAGATGATAAAAGACCCTTGTATTTTCATAGAGTTCATGGGATCTTCTCTCTCTTTGCTCTTTCTGTTACATAAACAACTTTCAGGGGTAGGCAGGGTAAAGAGTCTGAGCCCCATTTTATACATGAGGAAACAGCTTCAGAGACAAGAAATGACTCACTTGAGTTCACATGGCAAGGAAACCACACCGCCCTCCATGATCCCTGGGAAAGAAAGAGAGGGAAAAGCAGCATCTTAAAGTATTTAGAAAAATCTTTTGAAAATTGAATAAAACTTGAGCCAGAATGTCTTGCTGACGACAAGAGACCAAAGAATGTGGGAGAGCGTGGCCTTCTGCTCCCCTTTTAACTGGAGGACTGACATTAACAAAATCTGCCCCTGTTAATTTCTTACGCGATCATGCAGAGTTTCAGGGAGGCTGGGCACGTCTGCCTGGCTGTTGTCCTTTAAATGCCACTAAATTCATGTCTGAGTTGTTCTAAGGCTGTGTGTGTTTTCAGACCCTATCACTTCTTGGGCCAAGTTGGGGGTGTGGCAAGTACAAACCGAGTCACTAATGAGGTCCTCTGTGGTTGGCCATGGATGGTGGGAAGAAGAAGAAAAGAAAAATTCACCCTTTTCCATAGACTAAAATTAAACTAGACCTAACCTGAAGATATGTGAAAGCATATCTTACCATTTTTTTTATTTCATTTCATATCCTAAAAGTAGATAAGAATTATTAGCATTTGTGTGGCACTTGACAACTCATAGAGCCACAATTTCAATCAATACACCTCTCATGTAATAGAGAGCCCGACCTTGCGTGTGGAACGTGGGAAGTTTTCTCTGAAGCAGTAACTTATAAGTGTGGCCCCAAAGCTAAAACCCATCTCCTTTCTACTCTACCTAGATAGCAAATTCCCCACTTAGCTCCCTGTGGAAGAGGAATCGTCAATAACACATTCAAGTGGATTTGTTTAGAACCAATATTCATAAGAGTAATTACTATAAAAAGTTGCCAGTAATATTTACCTAAATTAGATTTATTCACTATTCATTTGCTCTCCCATCTCTATTGAAATTGAAATCTTAGCCTAAATATCTTCTTCAGAATGACAAACAGGCTCACCCAT